GGGTATAAAATTACAAAAGAAAATGTTTTTATCCTTTGATATTTTTGGATATTTTGAAGAATAATGTCATTTTTCGATGTTTCTTTTTTTAAATGTCAATTTTGACAGGTTAAGGAAATCACGTGACCTATTTTGTAGACGCCATTTGACATCATTTCTTAAGCAAAATCTACTGCCAAAATGAAATTTCACATAAAACGATAAATAAAAAAGTTTCCCATTTGATGCGGACTTTATCGGTGACACTGTATACATATCTGTAGTTGTAATATATGTTAAAATATTCTTCTATCGGTCATTGTAACCTACACTTATAATATAAAATATACATAAGTTGTAACTATAAGAACTGAAACCCAGTCCCTTAATTTATACACCTGGAAAAGCTCAACATCAATCGGAAAAATATTCATCAAAAAGTTCATCTACTTTTGCAGTGTCAAAATCGTGTACTATTTTAACACGCAATAACTGTCTGTGACACGACATTTACATTTTACAGGAGGAGTAAAATAACAGTTTTCAATTTTTTTTTCAAAAACTACACCTCACGATTTGAGCTAATGTCTTAGCGAAACATGTTGTGATATATTTTTCAAATAAAGTTTGTGGAGATCAAATAGTGAGGTGTAGTTCAAGTAACGGCCGAATCAATTAGAAATAAAAAGTTTTCAAAATGTTTGAAAAACAAAATTTAGTTCAATGTGCTGAGGTTTTTAAAAATAGTAATTCAACTTGACAAGAAATTATCACTGACGGCATTCGCTTTCTTCTTTCTATGTATGAAGTTCGTAAAAAAACTACTTATCCATGTTTCGTTAAAAATACCAAAAGTAAAAAACAAGTGCAATTACCTTGTGTTCCTCCGACCTCAGTTGCAGCTCATCAACATCTTTTTCGGGTATATTACCAAATTCAAGTGTGGCTTGGGGTTGGAAGTTGATTAACAATTCATTAGAACCATTTCAAACTTCACTTCCACCTGCGTCGGAAAAACTGCTGAACACAATTTTTGCAACTACAAAAAGGGATGCAGTGCTAAATGTGGTTGCAAAAAGGCCGGACTGTTTTGTTCTCTGGCATGTACACATTATCAAGGCCGGCCATGCTTTAATATTGAATCACCAACAGTGGAGAATCCGTTTGATTCCAACGAGGCAACATGCGATACATCGCTATTAACGCAGTTTACATGTAATCAGGATGAAGATGAAGAAGAACAAGAACAAAAAGAAGAAGAACAAGACGAACAAGAACAAGAAGAAGAACAAGAAGAAGCATTTGAAAGTTACGACTCGGACCATCAAATTTCACTACTTTTTTTCAACTTAAATTGCTTTTATCTTTTCAATCTCTGCTAATATCCATTATTTTGCAATATTTTCAAATTAAAGAGGATCACAACTGACCCGTGGAATAGGCCTACTGGGAAAACCACGTTAAAAAAACGCGCTAAGTACAATACCTCATAGGTGGCGTGGAAACGTGTGCATATTATGACGATTACAACTTTTACAACTTTCTGAATCGTTAAATTTCAAAAACGGTGGCACATAGGAAAAAAGTATTAATAAATTTTTTGTAGATAATTTTATGATCTACAATTTTCGTTTGAAGTATTTTTATGATAAAACTTATCGTTTTGCTGAAAATCGTGTAAAACTCATTTTTTGACCTTTAACCTTGAATAAAAATGTTTCCGTACAGGAGAGAGATGGGGAACTTTCAAATTTCATTTTTAATCATATTTTAAACAATCTTACTGATTTTCAACTTGGTAAGCATTTAGGTAGCTTCGAATATCTAAATTGACCGGACTATGGTATCTTATGAGACAACGCAAACGAGCGAATGTGCGGTTATGTGGAGCATACGCGACGTTCGTCTCAATCGGCTTGTAGGGTGTTAAATAGTAAGTAAGCTGTGGTGTTAATTGTGTACCCGTCTGCATCGAGTCTCAAGGGCAATTAAGTATTCATGGTTCAGTCTAGTACCGCTGATGAGACTTCAGGCAGGTCGAGACAGCGCTGTTTGGTGTTGAATGACGAATGAGTTGTGTTTGGGCTCTGCAATGCAACTAGTTGTCTTGCAGTGGAAGACAGAAGATGCATCTCTTTCGGCAGTGGATGCCGAGGTTTGGCTTACAACTAACCTTTCTTAATAGATGGCTTCTTCGCAAGGAAAGATGTCATAGCCCTCACTTATAGATTTAGAAATTGATTTTTCAGGACCACCGTATTTAAATGGAATTCTTTATTATGTGAATTGGATCAGCAATAATGATGTAATAAGCATAGAGACATGCAATGAGTTTCGTATTAAAGTGGAATATTTGTTCAAACAAAGTATCTCTTAATCACGGTTTTATATTTCACAATACAATTTCTAATGTATATTGGAAATAAAATGTTTCTGTAATCATGTCAAAGTGATAATATTGACTTCTATTTAGTGATAATCATCTTCATTTTACATACCGACTTGCTATTGGAAATGCATATAAGTATGAGGCTATACGTTTTTATCATGATCGTTATTCGAACCGCAAATGTCTTGCTACAATAACTTTTTCAAGACAACGTTTGGTTCTGTATCTGTATCAGTAGAATAGGGAGGGGGAGGGCAGACCTACAGCAATCAGGCCACATGTGACCCATTGTACATCCTCCCGAGGAGTTGTCTTCCTAGGTCATTGTCTATCCTGTCCTTTCCAGGAAGGTGGAAAGGTCACTAGGAGACATCTCCTTTATATCGGTAGGTGAAGGCCGAATATACTCTCTTTGGCAATCTTGAAGTGTCTCACGGCGGCGGCCTTCGTGAAGGTTTTGGAAGGTGCAGCGACATTACTGTCGTTGCGCCGCCTTTTCAACCTTCCTCGAGTTCCCTCCGTGGAGGTGCACAAGTGAGGGAGCTTTCCTGCAGGGGCAGCCGGTTCCTTGCCTTTATTCAAGGCAGAGCTCTTGACGCCCGCCGCAGGAAGTGCCCTTGCTGTTGGAGGTGGAGTGAGGGAGGAGGAGGGTGCATTTATAGATAGATAGAATAGAAATTTATTTGTACTGAACAATAAACAGAATGGTTTCCACTTACATGATGTACAGTATTTTCAAAAGTTCCTTACATATAGTATTGATTGAGTACCTTTGATACAGTTAAAATCGATATAAAATATAACAATATAAAACAATAAATAATAAAAATGACCGGAAAAAGTTTCAGTAACATTTGGGTATTCGGAGGAGTTGTCCCTCTGTAATACTGAATACATCCAGTTCACAGTTCCTCGCCATTTGGTTAATTATTTCGAGATATTGTTGAAGAGGAGACAAATTGTTTGAGATACGAAATAGATTGTCTCTTCTTCTCAGTCTTACGTCAAGTACAATAAAATCAATGGTGTAGAGAATTTCAGGTACTTTCAGTTTTCTAAGAATGTTAAAAACAAAAATCACTTCCGAGGACTCACGGCGGTCTTTCAACGGTTGCATGTTAAATTTTTGTAATAGGCTAGAATACGATATAAATAAAGGCCAAACATTGTGTTTTTTGAAAAAGAGTGTTCTTAATATTCGTTTCTGGACTTTTTCTATAGTTTCAGAAAATAAAAAGGTTTTTGGATTCCAAATAACACAACCATATTCCAGCTTAGAACGAACAATGGAGTTAAATAGTAACAAACAAGTATCGTGATTGAATTCACGGCTAGATCTCAAGACAAAGCTCATTTTTCTATAACATTCAGATACTGAGTATTCAATGTGCCGA